GGCAATGGCTATCGAGGGTTTACAAGAAGGAGGACAAACGCATTCATTGGAAGAATTTCGAAAAGGAATTGATTATTCGGTTCGGAGTGTCGGGTTATCATAACTATGACGAAGCTCTTTTATATATCAAGCAAACGGGAAGCTTACGAGAATACCAAATGGAATTCGAAAGAATTGCAAGTCGAGTTCGTGATTGGCCGGAAGGAGCACTTGTTGGTACGTTCATTGGTGGCTTAAAATCTGATTTGGCAGCGGAGGTGAGGCTAGACAAACCAAGAACCATGCGTGCCGCCATAGAAGCCGCTAGGATGCGTGATGATCACTTGATGGCACTACGGAGGGTCAGTCGACCGGAAGTGAGGCGACCGATGACTTTCCCTTCTAATGTTCAAAGAATGGGAGCCAATCTATCAACCGGCAATGGAAAGGACCTTTCATCGGGGGTTAAGAGCTTATCTTGGTAAGAAATGCAAAGACGAAGGGAGAAAGGCTTGTGCTTTAATTGTGATGAGAAATTCACACCCGGTCATCGGTGCAAAGAAAGGCGATCATTTTTCATTGAATGCGTTGAGTCTGAAGAAGACGAAGTAGTAGGGGATGAACTGAAGAGTGTAATCGATCCTCACGAGGAGGACCCGGATATATCGGTCCATGCAATGGCGGGAACTCAAGGACCCAAGACGACGAAGATGCCAGCTTGGGTTCGTGATCGACGTGTGATTGTGCTAATAGACAATGGTTCGTCTCATAATTTTATTAATTCATCATTGTTCGATAAGTTAAATTTACAGGTCACAAAAGTTGATCCGTTTGAAGTGAGGGTGGCTAATGGTGAGAGGTTGAAATGCTCGGAGTTTTACCGAGGTGTGCCGATAAAAATGCAAGGGGTCACTTTAAAGGCCGACTTGTATGCACTACCTTTGGTAGGTACGGATGTGGTTTTGGGGGTTCAATGGTTGGAAGGATTGGGTCCGGTTACTACGGACTATAGAGTGGGAACAATGGAATTTCGTTGGGGTGATGGCATGGTTAAATTATCAACCGGAGAAAAGGAGGGAACGAAGGAGGTGAGTGCTCAAAGTTTGGAGAAATTGTGGAGGCAAGGTAGTCAAATCTTTGTCATTAGAGTCGATAAATTGGAAGGTGTTGATGAGGAACACTTTCAACAAAAGGAGATTGACGAGTTGCTTCAACAATTCGAAGAAGTGAAAGCTGATCCAAAAAATCTACAACCACGAAGAGAGTTCGATCATCGCATTCCTTTGTTAGATGAAACCAAAGTTGTACATGTACATCCTTATAGGTATGCCCATTTTCAAAAAACCGAGACTGAGAAGCAAGTTCGTGAAATGCTTGAGTCGAGATTAATCCGGCATAGTACGAGTCCTTTTTCTTCATCGGTACTTCTCGCCAAGAAAAAAGATGGGACGTGGAGGTTTTGTACGGATTACCGGGATCTCAATGCGGCTACCATAAAGGATCGTTTTCCAATCCCAAGCATTGATGACATGTTGGACGAGTTGGCGGGATCTCGTTATTTTTCCAAATTAGATTTGCGAGCGGGTTACCATCAGATACGGGTGGCAGAGGAGGACATTCACAAGACGGCATTCCGAACTCATCAAAGGCACTATGAATATTTGGTAATGCCTTTCAGTTTATGTAATGCACCATCCACCTTTCAATTCGCAATGAATTCGATATTTCAAGATTACTTGCGAAAATTTGTGTTGGTGTTCTTCGATGATATATTGGTGTATTCGAAGAATTGGGATGATCATGTGATGCATTTGAAAGTGGTCTTGAATATTTTGAAGGAGAATGATTTTCAGATAAAGCCTTCGAAGTGTTCTTTTGGCCAAGAATTGGGGGAGTATTTGGGCCACATCATATCCTTTGAAGGAGTTAAAGTGGATTCCAAGAAAATTGAGGCGATGCTTGATTGGCCTAAACCGAAGAATTTGAAGGAACTTCGGGGGTTTTTGGGGCTGATCGATATTATCGAAAATTTGTCAAAGACTTTGGATTGATTGCTAAGCCATTGACGGAGATGACGAAAAAGGGAGGGTTCAAATGGTCGGCTAGCAGTGAGGAAGCATTCGAAAAACTCAAGGGGGCTATGTCAACGACCCCGATTTTAGCAATGCCTAACTTTGAGGTAATGTTTGAAGTACATACGGACGTTAATGTGGGAATTGGAGCCATTCTTACGCAACAAGATCGACCCATTGCTTATATGAGTAAAGCTTTGGGGGGTGTACGAGTGGGATGGTCGGTCTACGTGAAAGAATTGCTAGCTGTGGTGGAAGAGGTACGGGTTTGGAGACCTTATCTTTTAGGTCGACATTTTCGAATTGTGACGGACAAACAACCTCTAAAACATTTGTTGGAGCAACGAATAGTGACACCAGAACAACAAAAATTTGTGTCAAAACTCATGGGGTTCGACTTCGAGATATGTTATAGGCCGGGTCGACAAAACGCAGTGGATTATCTCGTCGGACGGACGTGGCGGAACTTCAAGCCATCTCGGGACCAACATGGGCTATATGGGATCAACTACGAGAGGCAAATGTTCAAGATGCCTTTTGTAATGATGTTCGTAGGAAAATGAAAGCTCAAGAGGAGGAGGTTCAAGATTATGATGTTTATGGCGGCTTGTTACTATACAAAGGTCGGGTGTATGTACCGGAAACCGATCACTTGAGACCGGAGCTGGTGCAATATTTCCATGGAGCCAAGATTGGGGGACACTCGGGAGTGTATCGTACGTGGGCAAGGCTATCCAATACCTTTTATTGGTCGGGGGCAAAGAATGACGTTCGGGAGTTCGTAACAAAGTGTGACCTTTGCCAAAGAGTGAAGTCGGATTCCAGAAAACCGGGAGGGCTTTTACAACCTTTACCGATACCCGAGAGAATTTGGGAGGACATAAAATGGACTTCATCGAAGGACTTCCAATGTCTAATGGGTTCAACGGGATCGTGGTGGTCGTGGACCGTCTTACCAAGTATGCACATGTCATTCCTATTACTCATCCATATACGGCTAAATCCATAGCTAAGTTATTTATTGAGTATGTGATGAAGTTGCATGGGATGCCTCGGTCCATTGTATCGGACAAGGATCAGATATTCATGAGTAGTTTTTGGAAGGAGTTTTTCAAAATGCAGGGTACCGAGTTGGCTATGAGCTCAGCATATCATCCTCAAACGGACGGGCAAACTGAGGTAACCAATCGCATTCTCGAACAATATCTCCGATGCTATGTTCATGAATTTCCGAGAAAATGAGAAGGATTTCTACCATGGGCTGAATTTTGGTATAATACAACGTACCATGCATCGACCAAATTCACTCCTTTCGAGTTGGTTTATGGACGGAAGGCACCCCTACTAGTGAGTTATCCGATGGGAAAATCACCGAATAATGAGGTGGATCGTGAGCTCATGGAACGAGATCTTATGATTCGGGAGCTCAAAGGAAACTTGTACGGGTCAATCAATCGAATGAAGGAGTACTATGATAAAGGAAGAATAGAGGAACGATTTGAATCGGGTGATTGGGTTTACTTGAAGCTTAGACCTTATCGCCAACACACAATCTCTCAAAAGACCCTATTCAAGCTGGGAAGTCGTTTCTATGGCCCATACAAAATTGTGGAACCCGTGGGGGAAGTTGTCTATCGACTTGATCTACCGTCCGAAGCTCAAATTCATCCGGTGCTTCATGTGTCTCAACTTAAGAGAAGCTTGGGGGAAAATCAAGGAGCTCAATCGAGGCTGTCGGCAGTGAACTCCGAAGGCACTATGATCATACGTCCAATACGAGCATTGGATTATAGGAGGGTAAAAAGGGTTGGTCGCTTCCGTTGGGAAGTCTTGATCGAATGGGACCAACTTCCGGAAGAGGAATCGACTTGGAAAAGTTTACACGATATGCAAATTCAATTTCTGGATTTTGTCCTTGAGGACAAGGACAATCTTGAAGTAGACGGGAATGATGCAGATGAGGGCCGTCAGCTGAAGAGCGCGTACAACCGGGCTCGTCAAGCTAAAATGAAGCTGCAGAAAAATTCTGAATTTTCAGGGGTTAGCGGCGCTAAGGACCCTTAGCGTCGCTAAGGTTGAAGAATAGCGGGGACAGAGGCTTCACGCTAAGATAATTAACGGCCAGTAAAGACCTTTAGCGGTGCTAAGGCCTGGGCGGGAGCAGTTTTTCATTTCAGTTTTCTTTTCATTTCAGATGTGGGCTTATTTTATGTCGTTTTTCTCTCATTTGGAAGAGTATCTTTATCTTTTATCAAAGAACTCAGAAAAAGCTCGTTTCCGAGCACAAATTCGTGTCAAAATCTAAGCTTTAGTGCGTGTTTTGATACAAAATTCGGTAACCGATACACGATTCGTAACATCATGGTAAGACTTTCTAAATAGGTTTTTTTTTTTTTTTTTTAAAAAAAAAAACTGAAATCATTTATTTCCAGAACAAGTAGATGGTACATGCACGGATCTATTCATATGTCCTAAACCATCAATAACACAAAAACAGCCCCGAAAATAACAAACTAATAGTAATCCCACCAGACATCAACTGATCTTGGTTGCCGGGAAACTAAACTCCAGAGTCTCCAGCCATCGCGGCACAGTTGTATCCCAGCCGAATACATATCCTTATTGTAAAAAACATCTGTCCAAGCTCCACCTTCAACCAAAAAACTCCAGAGTTCAGTCAGCACCTTCACCATGTCTCATGGGAGTTTGAAAATCACAGAGTAGCAGCAAAACATATCGAGTACCATATAGGATTGGGATTGGATCCGCATAAGAAAGTTGAGTGATTGTGTGGGGGAGATTATGAAAACCAGCCAGATAAGATACTTGCAGCAGTCGATATAATATGATTGGCATTCAGCAGGCGCCCGGATAAGCCAGAATTGGCTCGAGTATGATCTTTTAGAGAAAAATCGGAATTTGGTGAAAGAAGTTTGTTGTGGAGTGTTTTCACGAAAATGCAACAGAACCCCACTGCTGGGGCTGATTTTGGAGACTGTCGGATTCTTTTGATGGTGGCCAGTAGCGGAAGAGAGATCTACCAACGATGTTCTCAACAGGCAGTGGGCCCCAGTTGTGAGAGTCAAAACTGTTGTTCCGGTTGTCTCCCAGCACAAACACACAGTCCTCTGGTATAAACGTCCGGTCCATTTCATACTTTATTGGCTCCAAGATGAAACTCTCATCTTGAGCTACATCATTGACAATCAATTTTCCACTACGAACTTCAACACAATCACCAGCCTTTGCTACTACTCTTTTGATGAACACCTCGGATAAGCTAAATCCAAATTCCTGAAGAAATGAAGGAGACTTGAAAATCACAATGTCTGAAACTTCAGGACTCCTGAAAATATACGAAACCTTCTCAGCCAGAATTCTATCACCCACATTAAGTGTTGGGTACATAGACATTGAGGGAATCGATTTCGGCTCCGCCAAAGATGATTTGAAAAGGATGCCAACACTGACGGCAGTGAAAGCCGCCTTAGCGTCTTCAGAGGTAAAGCAGAAGTTCAGCATTTTCAACAGCCAACTATTATCAAACTTACTAACACCAAGTTTTTGCTGCAGAACCTTCACACTGCTCTCACCACCACTTTTTGTAATCGCTTCAGAACCAATCTTAGTCTTCAAAGTTCCTTTGCAAACACTTTCGCCGCTAGAAATCACCCGTCCCCTGTCCACCTCTGTACTTGTGGGTTCTTTAGACGGCAACCAGTTAGAACTAGGCAAGAAAGAAAAGATCGAGGACGCCTGAACAGAAGAAACCCCAAAGCCGACCGATTTGGGTGTAGAAGACGCGATCGATTCCTTCATCAGAGAAAGCAGCCCGAAAAAAACAGGCGATTGGCCCCTCCTTCCAATAATTTCCCCAGACAGAATCGCCTTAGAAAACGGCGTTGGTTTGTTGAGGTCCGTCGCCAATCCAAGGCGGCGGAAGTCAGAGTAACTCGGAGCAGGTTTATGCGACGGTGGGTGCTGGAAAATCCGCGTTGGCGTCGAGAAATCGTGTAAGAATCGCGAGGCGCCGCCCCTTCCGGAGGCGGCCGCGAGGTTTGTGGCCATGGAAGCCGAGTAGGTGGTGAAACGTATAGCCATAACAACGAATTGTAAGGTACTGATGAAGAAGTAAAGAAAAATCTCGGGATCTGAGACGAGCTGTGAGATGAGAGAGAGAGAGCCCTATGAAGTAGAGAAATTCATCGTAACTGAAAAAATCAGCGATGAACAGGAAAAACAAAAGGGAATTGAAAGTTAGGCTAAGATCCGAAGACGAGAGAGAAAACTGGGGATGATCGACGGTGAATATTCAAGGAAAGCAAAACCCTCGCGGCGGGGATTGCCCGGCGATTGGCGAAGAGGGAGCAAAACGGCAGGCAAGGGCTTGTTGCTGTTGTGGGGAGGAGAAAATTCGAAGAATTTGACGGGCTAGACTTTCTAAATAGGTAACTTCAAGTAAATACAACTTTCAAGAAAATGTCTCCATATAATTAAATATGGTGACAGATTGTATAATTTAAATAAATATGTCGATTATTTATGGTCATGTTACATGTATTAATTGTATTTTAATATCATTCCTTATTATAACTATTGAATTGTATATATATATTTTAAAAGTTAATAACTTTTGTATTTTTTATCAGTTTTACATATGTAATATATCAAATTAATCTTCTTTTGATGAGCTTCGATTTAACATCCATATTGTATGTATAAAAAAAATAATTTATATTTATTTTTATAATAATAATATAATTATTTTTAATATTAATTAGAAAAATAAAATTATTTATCAACTAATATATTTATATTTCAAGTAGTTATATGATATAAGTTATAACAACTAATACAATATAATACATGTAAGTCATAAGTAACACATATCATTCTAAAATATATAGTAATATATTTTTTTGGTAAAAATATAATTTAGTTTTCTCATTAATTTTAAAATTTAAGAATAATTTTTTAACAAGCACCCGTGTAATACACGGGTGTTGTACTAGTGTCTTATTATAGGTGGAAAAATTGCACGTCCACTAATTATACTTTCATTGCACTTTCGTCCTTTAATTGTTTTCGGTTTACAATTGGTACACTAACTTTTTTTTAGTAATTTTATTGCAAAATGACATTCTGATGCTCATTTTCCCGGAATAGTTGATGTTGCGCCCAGTCAGATCGGAATTTCCATTCTCGGCGTGATATGACACGAAGTGGGCCCAACTGTTTTTTACACATAGAACAAAATAAGAAAAAATTGCACTATTCGTTCACTAACTTTACACTTATAGCACTTCGTCCTTTAATTGTTTCCAGTTTACAAAATCAGAAGAAAAAAAATTAAAAAAATCAAAAGAAAAAGAAAAAGTTTTAAATTCCACATGTAAAGACATGTGGATAAAAAAATTAAAAAAAAAGAATATTAATCAATAAAAAATTTTTTTGTTTAATGATTTAAAAAAAAAATATATTTATTTTTTTAATAAAAATACATTTTTTATTTAACTAAAAACAAAACAATTAATAAAAGACAAAATGAAAAACAAAATAAATATTTAATAAGAAATAAATATTTTTATTTAATGATTAAATATTTAATAAATAACCAAATAATTATCATTTTTATTTTTTATTTATAAAAAAAATATTTTTTATTTAATATAAAAATAAAATATTTAATGAGTAATAAATATTAAATATTTTTTTTAATCGTTAAATATTTAATAAAAAAAGAAATATTTATCATTTTTTGTTTAATGAAAAAATATTTTTTATTTAAATAAAAAACAAAATATTTAATGATTAAATAAAAAAGAAACATTTTTTTTTTTTATTTAGAATTGATAAATATTTAAGTAAGTAAAAAATCCTCATTCAAATTATACTAAGTTTAAAACTCTCTCATCTCTCGTCGCCCTTTCCACTAATCTCTCCTCGCGGTTCCCGTCAGTAATCAGTCGCCTTCCCCAGTAGGGCGCAGCGAGCACACGGTGGTGGCTCTCCTGAGCCTCGCAGCTCGGAGAAGCAGTGCCGCACGGGGGAAGGGGGAGCTTTTTCGCCGGGAGACGGTCGTGCCTGGTTTTCGGCTTCCGCCTCTGGGGCCGCGAGTGAGTGGCGGGTGGATGGTTCTCCTCCGGTATCTCCATTTCGGTGGCCCTCTAGCGCTCTCTTGGAGGGGCTGCGACCCCAATTTTCGATTTAGGGTTTGGGGTGGAGAAAGGGATCCGGCCTGATATAAGATATTATACTAGACTCGGTTTAATGGATAAAACGAATACATATTGGAGGATAAGCCCACGTATGGACTATGACATATCATAATGATATGGGTCAAGCCCAACTTGAGCCCAGAAAGGTACACTCCCCCTATAAAAGGGGGCTAAGGTATCACATTCTCTCATGTTCTATTCATTTCATTACTACACACTCTCTCTCTCTCTTGATCTAAGCACTGACTTAAGCATCGGAGGCCCGACGTCGGGGCCACCCACGGCGTTGGGTTCTTGCAGGTACGGAGGCCGGTCGAGCTGAAGGAGCCCAGGAGAAATCTATTTAACTTAATTGGCGCCGTCTGTAGGATCCATTAAAAAAATCAAGCAGAGTTTCGACTGAAAAAATTCGAAAACCTCCTTCTTCTCCACCGAAGGTCGCCACCTCCGCGGTCGGCCGCCGAAAAACGTGCTCCGATCGGAAAATCATTTACACCATCGGATAGATCTCCTCAAGGTGATTCTACCTTTAAAATTTCGTGCAAAAATTCATCCGGGAAGGCCGTCTTTTGCGGTCAAAGTTTCCAGAACTAGCAAAAGTTTGGTCAAAATCGAGCATTCAAATGCATTTTCCCGACGATCCGTGAAGGCTATGAAAAATCCAAAGGTACCACCGAAATCCTCTCAATGAAAAGAATCTCCAGCTACCGATCTTCGCCGGAAACCACCACCCCCGCCGCCGTCCGCCACCGCCTCCGCCGTCGGCCATCGATCAAATTCGTCCGATCTGAAAAATTCTTACACCATCGTGAAGCTCTCCTCATGCTCGTTTTACCCTTAAAATTTGGAGTAAAAATTCCTTCGGGAGGGCCATCAATTTACCGGTCAAAGTTTGTGGATCTAAGAAAAAATTGGTCAAAATCCGGTCATCTTCTCCATTTTCACATCGATTCCCGGTGAACCTCTTGAAACCGAGAACACCATCAGATTCTCCGTGTCGGGGCGTACGCACAGACGGTCATTTCCTCTGGAACTGGCAAGGTTTGGCCCGCAGAGATTCTTCCGGCGTGTTCCAGCCGTCGCCCGCGCAGCTTTCAGCCTGACCCGCGAGGGAGCCCAGTGCAGCAGTCCAGGCGAGCTCGCGCCATTCAACCCAGCGTGGAGGCCCGTGTCCCGCGGCCCAGGAGATGGTCAGCGCGGCCCATTTACGTGAGACCCAGTAGCAATTGATGGTGGACCGTCAGAGGAGCCCAGTGATGAGGATCGTGTGTTTCGACTGCCGATAAGCCGCTAACCCGCGCCTTGAATCGCCGATAGTGTTTCTCTAGCCACAACCGCGCATATTGAAACGAATAAAATTGCAGTAGTATTTTGGTGAAAAGACTAAAGCAAAGTTGGAAGAACAAACTTTTAGATTTTTATTGACTTCTTGGATGATTTTAAAATTACATGGGGTAAGGGCCTTTATATAGGCACAAGATTTGTCTAAGTCTAATCTACCTAGGAAAAAAATAAAGCAATAAAATATTAGGAATCCTAAACAAGCTAGAAATTATAATGCTAGTTGGAAACTAAATCTCTTGGTGTGCACTCCAAGCAATCCTCTCTCTCTCCCCTACTCTTGCGCACGCACGCCCCTAAGTCGGTTTCCGCCATAGTCCACGCCCTAGTCCTTGCGGACTACGGCACCGCCCCTTTCGCGCGCGTGTCGCTCATCCGGCGTGCTGCGCACGCCGTCGCTCCTTGCCGCCTCAACGCGCGCGTGCGCCCCGTCTGGCTGTCCACATTCCTCGAGGCATGCGGCATCCATCTCCGCGCGTGCCTGTTCGTCATGCGCGCTCCGTCCACTATCTAGTCGTCAAAATCACACAATCGAAAAGGTCCTAAACATGCTAATCGCTTGAATTGAGGGGTTGATTTAAGCTAGATTAATCTACGAAATTGAAATCGAAAGCAAGTAAAGCACGCAAGAAGATTAAATAGATCAAAGGGGAAAGAGCGACTTTGGTTCTCCGGAGTCATCATGATCAAAAGCACGCAAAAATCCAACCATTGCCATGTTCGCTAAAAACCCTAGAAAGTCAAATCAAACTCTAGCATGAATCGAGCAAGAATTCAACTCCTATCACATTTAGTCAAACATTCATGATCCAAAGCAACAATCTTTCCTTCCAAAATCTCAAGCACAATATCAATTTACCAAAGCAATAAAGATATACGAGGTAGTGGGGCTTAAGACTAAGTTACCCACTCCAACATGCACTCGGGAGAAGAAACGGAATCAAAAGCTTGAAACTTTGCTCAAAACAATGTCGCCGGAAGTTCGCCGGAAAACTTGATTCATAAAGCTCCAAACCAAAATATATAAAAAAAGAAAAATAGAAAATAGAGAGGAATTCCCAACTTAAAAGTTGGGAAATGAGAGTTATCTTTAAAAATACAAAGCATAATGTTTTTTTATAGCTACACCACAAACACACACTAAAACACACACATTAAATGATGAAAACTCGCAGGATAGGTCGAATTCGCAGGATAGGTCCTTGATTTTCGCAGCTTGAACACCAAAACTCGCAGCTTAGATGATGAAACTCGCGGGATAGAAGGCGATTTCGCAGCCGCGAAATCATTTTTCGCGGGCTGGAAATGGTCCCATGACCTCTTGATGCTCGATTTGCTCTAACTTCTCGCACACAACTCCAATTCGCACGAAACTTGGACCAAAATTCTCCTCATTGAATTCTCTTCGTCCCGGTATGGCTTGGTCGGATTTTTCGGGTTGGATGACTCGGATGGCCCGTCTCCTCTTCTCGACAAGTTGGACCAAAACAACACCAAAACAAAAGAGAAAACGCGCAAAAATACGAAAGCACTATACAATAA